GTCAAGTGGGTGAACACTCTTTCTACTCGTATGCTCGGTTTTAGTTTTGTCTGTCATATTATAACCGTGGGAACGTCATAATACAGCACCAGTCAAACGTTTTTGATCAGTAAGATTTTTTTTTTAAAGAATTTTCTTCTGCTCACCAAGGCTGCATTTATTTGATCCAAAATACAGCAAAAACAGTAAAATTGTGAAATATTTTTACTATTTAAAATAACTGCTTTCTATTTGAATATATTTTAAAATGTAATTTATTCTTGTGATTTCAAAGCTGAATTTTCAGCATCATGACTCCAGTCTTCAGTGTCACATGATCCTTCAGAAATCATTCTAATATGCTGATTTGCTGCTCAAAAAACATTTATTATTATTATTATGTAGTGGCCACGCCATACATAAAACAAACCTGCGTGTCCATAGCAACCTGGAGTTATCAGAAATTATTAATAAATTAACATTTTATTTTGAGTTAAGAATGACATAGGACAGTGTGCCATTAAGACATGACCATATTATATTACATTTATTATATTATGCGATGCTCAATCTATAGATAATTTTCGAATGGCGTTTGAATTATGTCATTATCAGTTTAAGAATATGTTCTGTCTGCAAGAAAACATTTTATGCATCCCATCCCATGTTATTTTAAACCTATGCACTTCATCTCTTACTTTTATTTAATATTTGTATATATTATTATTATACTATTATATATTTATTTATTTTCTAGTTCTTTATTTCATGCATATCTTTACCTAAACTAAACAACAATTACATCTTTAAAATTATACTTACTAATATAACCTATCCAAAATGAAATGAAATGTTATAGCTTAATATAAATTTAATAAATATAAATATAAATATAAATATAAATTCCCTGAAAAGTCATATCATTTATTTCCACCTACTGGCATAGGCCTACAGAAATAGAGTCATATAGAGTTAAAGCTTTATGATAGTCGAGCATTTCCAGTATTTACAAAACTTATATGGTACTTTGTTAAATACAGAACGTTAATTGGGTAAAGAGATGCATAAAATGAAGGAGAAAATAAATATCTAATATATACAAACATCTTTACATTATATTATAATAATTAATATTATTATATAATAATTACATTTTAATAAAGCCATGTCTTAATGCCGCACTGTCTTCAATGTCATTCTAAATTTAAAATAAAATGTTAATTTATTAATAATCCCCATTTTTAAAAAGTTGCTTTGGACATGCAGGTTTATTTTTTTAATTGTTTTATTTTGTGGTTATGAGAAAAGGATGTCGTTCCCTCAACATAAGATCTCAAGGCCATATCTTCAGTACCCCAGCGACTTAAGACTGCTTTTGTGCTCCAGGGTCACATATGATCACATGGTGACCACGAGAAAATTAAGTGAACTGAACATGACCTTGTATTATCTGTCTTCTCTCACCCAAACCTCTTTGTCATATCACCCGGGCATCTCTGTCACCTCATCTAATCTGAGTCTCTCTTCTGTCTCATCTGAGTTTTCTTCATCTCATCTGACTCTCTTGACTCTCTCTCTTTCCAGGAAGACTGTGGAGGAGAGTCAGAGATCGCGGCGGCGGCGTCCGCTCATGCCGAGGGAACGCTCTGAATCCATGAGCTCCAGCTCCATTTATTTCACCGCCAGCGCCGGGGTCGCCAGTCTCTGTGACGACAGCGAGGTGGGGTATGTCAGCGTCATTGTCACCGGACGTTTGTGTATCAGGATGCCGTGTAGCTCTTGAGTTTGTGTACGTTTCAGCAGTTGAGCTCTTCCACAGATACTCCACGGCCTATTCCAACGCCGAGTCCGACTACACGGACAGAGAGACGGATCAAGATGGTGAGGACGACGGGAGAGACTCGGATGAGGAGGAAGAGGAGAGCTGCGTCACGGTGCTCACGCTGAGACAGGACGATTCACAGGCCGAAGAAGAGGACGATGAAGATGTCGGTCTGATGGTGGAGTCTTTAAGTGACATTCGCAGCCCTGAACTTGCCCTCCTGCTCGCCCAGTGTGATCTGCTGCATGCAGGGGACTCTGGGAAAAAAGCAGAGGGCTTCCAGCTGCTGATGGAGAACAGACCGCTGGTGAGATATTTAATGATAATTTTTTTTAACAAATATTTCTATTTCAAATAAATACTGTTCTATTCATCAAAGAACCATGAAAAATGTATCACAGTTTCCACAAAAATATGAAGCAGCACAACTGTTTTCAACATTGATAATAATCAGAAATGTTTCTTGAGCAGTCAATCATCATATTAGAATGATTTCTGAAGATCATGTGACACTGAAGACTGGAGTAATGATGCTGAAAATTCAGCTTTGATCACAGGAATAAATTACATTTTAAATTATATTCAAATAGAAAACAGTTATTTTAAATTGCAATAATATTTCACAATATTACTGTATTTTTC